CCTGTCCGCGGGGGCATTGCTTATTCGGTGGTCTGGTCCGCGGTCTCTGAGATTGTTTGACCTCGTCGACTTCACAGTACGCCACGAGGGCGCTAGAGCCCTCACAGTTGGCAGTTACGACGTCCTCTAAGTTGTACCACCCACCAAAAACGTCCTCTTTTTACACCTGACGCCACGCACCCACTTGTTGTTTGGTGGAAGGTTGGGCACAAATCCGAAGTGCGTTCCATTTTTGCAGACGCACATAAGTAAAGTGTTCTGCTGATAAGTGTCCCGCTCTTCGTCATTACATTACTCATCAAAAGCACATAAAAGCAACTCGAGCAGGCCCGGAGAACACGCACAGGGAGGCTGCCAGACGATCCTTGGTCGTGTTTTGAAACGGAAAGGAAAAATCTCGTGAAATAGTTCTATTCCTGCCTCTTTTCTCTCTGATCTCCTTACCCCGCTAGAATAGTATGCATTCCATTTTGTGTCCATGTTCCTAATCAATCATTGCCATCTCTCGATATGGTCACTCCCTTCCGTTCTTTTGTTCCACCTATCTACTAGAACACAAATTAATGATGTCTTCGCATTGTTCTATAGCTCATGAGATCCATACTTCCACAGAAGTCCGGTTTTCTCTGCAAAAGCGAGCTACTATCTTCGCCGCAGGTCGACCACCTCTCGGTTGTTCCTATCTACGTATTTGTTTGACTATCAGTCTCCCTTCCTTTTTGGAACGCGTACCTACTCTGCTCTTCGTGGTACTTCCATAATACCCGCCTCCTCCGACTGTTCAATTACGTGAAAAGAGCCTAATATGACCGAGCGATCATTGTTTGTTGGAGCGTGGAAGGAGCTTAGCATGGTTGACCGTTCATCCGAGTCTTTACGCGGAAAATGAAGGCCGGTTGGTCTGTGTGCGAACTAGCGTTCATTTTGACCTACTCAGCTGGACGAATCGGCCGCATTTGGTACATGCTTGAAGTTTCACATCATTTTTCGAGTCACATGCTGCCTGCGACTGCATCCTTTGCTAGGAGCAATAAGTCAAAGAGCAAGCAAACAGGGTATCATACATGCGCTGCAGCATTCGCGCGCTGTTCTCTATGTTGCTACCATGTAAACCCCATCACTTGGTTGATTTTTGGGTTGTGATTATAACTGACAGCATTACGGGCAGAGACGCTCATTCTCTAGCAAAGCTGAACCGTACCTGCACCTCTGAACCGTTTCTAACGATACACACGCACCCTGATAGGCTCAGCTAGCATCAGGACAGAACGTGGCTTAATCTGGCCACTGTTCTGTTTCATTGAGACAGGAGGTATGACTTTGATGTTAGCGTTGCCTGCTTGGTGTGAACGCAGCAACCTCGCTTACTTGGAGCAGTGTCATTCCCAGTATTATAAGCCAAGACGATAGTAGTAGAAGTTCAATGGTAGATTGATTTTCATGACAAACCTCGCTCAAACGTACAAGAAAGTCTCCGTTTTTAAGTAGAAGTGGCGGTATATCCTCTCTGGGGAGATAGCCGTGATAGAATTCTGCTGACTGTAACCATATGTCAGCAGGATGTGTCTGTAAGTGGCAACACTTGGGGGACAGAAATCATCGTTATTTCCTGTAAGTCTCTAATTCGTGCTTAAATTACAAATACTCACAAACGGATCGCCAGCAGAATGAATACTTCGAATACTAGTAGTTGTAGGAGGTGGTTCAGCAAGATGACCTTCTCCGATGGTCGAGTTGTCCAGAGGATCACGTTCATCTTTCTTCATGACGGCTTGCTGGACTTGAATGATACACACTCGACGTTTGAGAGCCGGGTGATGTTGATTATTGATACGAGTGATAAAAACTACTTTCTTTATGGCACACTCTTAATGTTTCTTTCATCCGGTCAGATTGGTACGGTCTACATTCTCGACTGCTCAAACTGTACACTCGTAGAGTTTGTGTAATTGTAACACACAGCAGCAAAAAGATGAGCAATTAGTGCAGGATGTGTGCGCTACGCTTAGGGTTATAAGAAGATGAAAAGAAAATTCATGGTAAGGTAATAAGGAAGGTGCATCAGGCGCTGAAGTAGTTGTGACGGACGTCGAACAATGGACAGGCAAAATCGTCAACGAATAACGGATTACAGGAGAGGGACATGCTTCGTTGAAATATGTACTGAAAAGCGAAATACAGAAGAAAAAGGAGAAGTGGTTTTCAAGGCTGGTTAGTCGCAGAAGCAGTCATAAAAATGTTAGAAGAGTTTCACGTAAAATGTAACGTCGAGCAGTGCAACAAAAAAAATGTCTGCGCAACGGTGACAGACAGTTCTGTCATAACTTATAATGTTTTATCCTCTGAATTTCATGGAAGTTATCAATGTCAGTTCCTTTCCTTCATGTTATTTCCTACTGTACCACCGCACTCGCTTTTAGTTGCTATCATGAGAAGATCAGGGATACAGAATGAGGTGTATGCATTTTGCTATCGCATTATACTTTCCTGTTCAGCCAAAATGTTGTTCTGGAGAAATACTTCTGGGCCCTAAGTCACACTGGCTCCGTTCGGGGAAGCGAACGCGGAAGGACAGAATCGAGGCCTGAAATGTCTAGGATTTATAAGTGAAATCGACAAGCATTTAATGATGTCCTTTTAACTCTTTGCTACGACGCCATTGCGCCAGAAACTCCGGTTTGCCGCTACGCGGATCTATAGCTTTCGTGTGTTGTTTTTTTTTGATATTTTACTTTTCTGTTTGGAGAACGTCTTATCCCACTTTTGGTGAATAAAGATGGTTTTTTTACTTCTTGAGGTTGATTGGAATCAGATAGAGAGATGCGAACATTGATAAGGAATTGGTTGGACGACTACTTTACCCAAGTCAAACTTTTCATCAGAATTAAATCTTATTTGTATATATGTTGTGGCGAAAAGGGAGAAAATCGCAAGAAAACAGATGAAAAGGTGCGTGTGCTCATGGTAGTGAAAGAATGGCAGAAGGAGGAGTTTTTGGGTGTACTTCACGGCGTCTCGAATGTGTTGCGGTCTTTTTGCCTTGTTTCTCCATTGGACCGTCGGTAAAACAGTGAGACACAAGTAAGCAGCGAAGAAGAAAGCAGAAGCTTCGAAAAATTTCCAGGACCTCTTGTTGCAAGCGTTAACCAATGATTGTAACAACAAATATTCTTACAAAAAATTAGTAAACCACCAACATCACATATCTTGAAAAAGCAGCTCCCACACAAGCGATTGTCCAGAAAAACGGCTTTGAAAAGGTAAACAACGACATGAGAAACAGAAGTAGGCGCTTGCATAGTTTGCAATGCAGCGGCGTTCGATGTGAGAATGGGAAAGACCCCACCATAGTACAGTTATTAGGGAGCAGTATGAATAAGAAATAAAGGCGTCGATTATAAACGACGGAACGGAAACGGTAAGAACTGAAAGAGTCCTAGACTGTAATGAAGCCATATCGAGCAGAGAACAGGAAGATCCTCTGCGGTTGCGGACCACGCCATGTGGTCTAAGAAAGGGTATCCCCACGCAGACTCTTGCTCCAAATAAAGCCTCCCACTTTCTGACTGTTATAGGCCTTTTTGAAAAAAGATAACGACGGGCACTGCATGCGCACGCAGAACGTCGGAGAGAGCAGTGAAGAGAAAGCATAGACAAATAATGTTTGTCTCCAACATTTATGAAGCGATAAAGACTGAAAGTGTCCTTAGAGCAAGTGACATTCATGAAAGTGAATCTGTCCTTGTTTAGGGAGACATCATTGCTGATTGTTAAAGACAATTGAGACGATAAGTCCCTAAGACGAGCAGGATTAATACGCCTGGCAGGACGGAATTCCGCGCCCCTGAGCAGGCGCTGCGTAGCGCCTTTTCCAAGGAAGGTGCCCCTATAGCGCCCTATCAAGCTGCAACATACCGACCCGGACGCCCACCGCGCCCCGCCCACAAATGGACGACCGTACCTGATGCTCGTATTGCTTCATTTGCGAAGTAAAATATGAAGCGAAGGGATTGATATGAAGCGGCTGCGGTGCTGCATGGATATATGAGTACATACGTGCAGCCGTATCTACCGTAGCGGTTATTGGCAAGATGCCTACGGGAACTCGTCCGAAACTGCTTTCTAAATCATTAAGCGGAAGTTTTTCTTCGCAAGTATTTAATCGTTCACTTCGTTTTTTCACCATTTCCCCACTATATAGTGCCCTGCTAGCATTTCGAACCGAGTACCATCAACGTGCAACTGCCTTTAACCTTTCATCAGCTAGAGACGGCCCTAGTGCTATCTTCACGTTTTAGCTGCGAAAGTGATTTGACCTCTATAGTCGCGGGCCGATTGTGAAAAAAGGTTTTAACTCATCAGGCAGCCTCGGAGTGTATCTATTTAGAAAGATGGATTTCAAGATGTTTTGCCTGGAGGAGTTCGTGCAAAGTGTGAAAACCTCGCTTCGTGGCTGGCGCTCCGTACACCCTCATACTCAGTCTACAATATTCCTGCAAGAAGTTGCGTGCGGCCAGCTACGAAGTAAGATGAAGCTGGTCTTGGAACTTGACTGGGGTCGGATTTGAGGCAACAGGACGGGTTACGCTGCACGACTTTATCGCCATAAGGTGCCAAAGCCTGGCTTTGGAGGAATTTGAAA